AGCATGTACATCTGTGATGGAGTTCCACTTTTCAGGGGTTAGGTTTAGCATGTACATCTTTCTTAGAGAGCAGAAGGCAGAATGACAGACATTCATGATCCGTTGCCGGGTTTGGCTCAAGGCAAAAAGGCATCCGCTCATCCTGCTGCTGCCACAGTTGGTAGCGGAGCGGGGCTGGCCATGGCCGCGGTGGGCGGCACGGCGCGCTGCTAGGCGACACTGGCAGCAGCGTGCGTGCGGCTCCATCGGCCGGGCCGGTCTCGCTCGTCGAGACGTGCAGTGTGGGATCCACGGCAGGTGCCGGCATGCCGGCAGACGAGACGTACGCGACACGGACCATAGACGGCTCAGCAGGCCGAGGGGACGGACCAGCTGGGCGTGCAGAAGGTCAGCAGGCGGCAGCTTCGCCCTCGGGGGAGACACTACCAGCGCAGCTCTCTGCCCAGGTGCAGGACTTGGTGCGCAAGTGTCTCAGCGAGCTAGTGCCCGACACTAGCAAGGGCGGCTGCGCGGCTGGCCAGGACACGGCGTCGCGGCCCAGTGGTGGCGAGACACGGCGTCCCGAGGACGTCGACCCGTGGGAGGAGAAGGACCCCTGGAGCCAGAAGCGCAACGGCGGAGAGTCGTGGCGCGACCAGAGCGACAAGGGCGGCTGGAACGACAACCAGTGGCAGAGTTGTTCCAGGTGGCAGCAGGATAGTTGGCACTCCTCCGACGAATGGCAGATGGGATCCTGGTCGGGGCCGAACACTCGCGGGGACTTCACGGGTCCACCGGCATGGCCGGGTTGGACACACTACCGCCAGTGGAAGAAGGCCGTGCAGAGATGGAATCGGAGTACCGACGTTCCACTCTGGCGACGATCAGAGAAGTTCTTGGCCCTGTTCGACTGGGCCATGCAGTCCAAGTTCGACGACGTGCCCGAGAGTCAGCTGACCAACAACCAGTGGCTCGACACCCTCCTGAAGAGGATGGACCTCATGAGTGGAGAACGTGAGGGAGATGAACTCCGGAGGGTGGGTCGTCGGGCGCTGTATGAAGGCACGCGCGACCACAAGGAGTCGCTAACGCAGTACGTGGCCAGGCGTGACCTCCAGTTCCAAGAGGCCGAAGGCAACGACCTGTGGCTCTCGGAGAAGCTCAAGGGTCTGATGCTAGAAGAGGGCGCAGGTCTCTCGGCGCAGGGTCAACAGAACATGAGAACCCTGACCCAGGGCAGCCTGGACTACAAGCAGGTGGCCTGGGCGCTGCGCCAGATGGACTTCGGCGGCTCCGAGCGGCTGATGACTGGTAGGGCAGCGTCTCATCCCGTCATGGCCGCAGAAGCCGGCCAGGCGGGAGAAGCCTCAGGCTCCCTCTTCCCTCTGCCCCCTCCGGTCCCGGGCACCGAGCCGTACCATGGTGACCAGCAGGACGAGGCAGAGGACTTCGAGGACGGCTCTGATCGAGGACGAAGACGATCCCGAGCTGAGTGAGGATGAGGTACTGGCCATCCTGGCGGAGATGGAGGATCTGGAGCTGGACGAAGACGAGGCCGAGGAGGTTTTCGTGCAGCTCGAGCAGAAGAAGAGGACGTGGAAGGAGAACAAGGACCTGAAGCGAGCGGCCAAGAGGGGCCGCGAGTACTTCAGGTCCACAGGTCGCGTGGCCGGAGGTGAAGGTCACGACGGCCGTCGAGGCGGACGTCTGGGCGCGCGGCCAGCCAAGGGTCGCGGCCGAGGGGGCGGTGATCGTCGGAGACCTGAGCGTCACCAGAGGATGACGCGCGAGCAGTTGATGAAGGTGACGCACTGCAAGAGATGTCTCCAGAAGGGACACTGGTCCAGGGAGTGCCCGAACCCCCCCGGCCTCGGACGACAAGCGCAGGGCTTCGGACAAGAGGAAGAACCTAGCGGGCTACATGTTCACGGGCTGCACGACGGCTGGACCGTGCCTTCCAGTGGTGACCAGCGACCAGCTGGAGACACTGAAGGAGATTCAGGAAGAGGTGAATGCCGTGTTCCTGACGACGGCGGCCAACCAGGGCCTGGTCGACCCCGGCGCCGGCAGCGACATCGTAGGCCGCATCTCGCTCAACCGGGAGTCGCAGGAGCTGGCACGTCTGGGGCTGCGATACGTTCAGGTGCCCGAGTCCGTGAAGCCGTTGCGCAGTGCTCACGGGGTAGGAGGCCCGGCCAAATTAATCGCCACGGTGCTGTTTCCTCTGTGCTTAGGTGGTGTGCTGGGCATCATAGAGACGACGGTCCTAGACGAGGACGTGCCCCACATTCTGAGCGTGAACCTGCTAGACTTCCTGAAGTGTGTGGTCGACCTGCCCAGGAATATCTTGGTATCAGGCACGCTGGGGGAGGACATTCCCATGACCAAGCTCAGCACGGGGCACCGCATGGCAGACATCATCGGGCCAGTTGCCGGAAGAGGCAGGGCGCCTCGCGAGGCAGTGAGCAAGTATCTTTTCTCGACGGCAGCATCGTTTTTGCTTGACGGGGACCGGGCTCCAGAGATGAGCTCGGACGGGACTGTGACTCAGTACGTCATCCCTCTTCTCGTGGTCCTCCTCCGTCTCATCAGGCGTCGAGGGTCTCGAAGGGCCCCAAGGCGCAGCTTGATCAAGGTCAAGAAGGGCCTCCAGGTGGGCCCGACGGACAACACGATGGGAGTCAAGGGGAACGACGACAGGCTCGGCCTACAGGAGGGCCAATTAGATAAGGAGCTGTCGGGCCTCGCGGGCCTGACCGGGAACATGATCAAGGGGGTCTACCAGCCAAGGGCTCAGCTAGCGTCTCAGAGACTCGTCGGGGGCTTAGGATCAACCGGGAGCGCTAAGGACGTGCACGGGACCACCAGCGACCACAACGGGACGGTCTCAGAGATTCGGAGCTGCCTGCATGCGTCTCGGTACGTAGCGCTTTTCGGCTCGAGCTCAGAGATCAGCTTTCGAGATTTCCCGAGCAGCGGACTTCTTTCAGCATCCAACCTCAGCGAGGCGGCCGATGGCGATCCGTGCGCTGTCGTTCGCCATGATGACCAGTGCTGTGCTGGCGGGCAAGAAGGAACCCGGGGCGAAGGTAGCCACCGAGGAGTTCCTGGCGAGGCGCGATGCGGCACTGGCCAGTGCCGAGGGCGAGACGAGCGACGACGTCAGCTCCATCGAGACGGTGCTGCCTGGACAGGGCAGCAGCCAGCCTGGGGCCTCGCCGTCGGACGACGCGATGATTCAGGAACCAGGGCCGCCTCCACCTCCGGGGGCTCAGCCGATGCCGTGGGCTGCAGCGGGAACCGCGGCGCACGTGCCCCCAGCACCTCTCGGGCCTCCGCCTGCAGAGCTGGTCGGAGCACCACGCCAGCATGCAGCTGCCCAGGGAACAGCAGGCCAGACGATGCAGCCTCCTCCACCAGCGGGGCCGCCTCCCAACTGGCAGGCCACATTGAGCCAGCAGGCAGGACTGCTGATGAGTCAGCGGGCAGTGCTTACGGGCCCGGCGGCCACCAAGCCTCCGCCAGTCCAGGATGCGACACCGCCGGGAGCAGGGGCGGCAGCGGCTGCACCTCCGCCCAAGTCTCCTCCCGCCTGTCGCCACCCGCGCTGTGCCATCCGATACTTTGGGAACCAACACGGGTCGGGATCACGATGCACTCACTGCAGCGAGCGTCTGACTTGGATCCCTCGTGCGGTTGGCGCTGGAGGTGCCGGGCAAGGCGGAGGACAGCAAACGGCCACAGAGGCCGCCCGCGCAGCCGCAGCAGCAGCACAGCAGGCGGTGGACATGATGCAGGACAGTCCCCAGTTTCGGGCAGGCGGAGCAGCACTGTCGACGGTGAACAGCCTGAGTACCCTCCTCCAGGGCCTTCAGTGGCAGTTGGCGTCGGTCCCGGAGAGCGTGAGGGCGCTGGACCGTGTCCAGGAGGTCCTCGACAGGATGGTGCAGGTGGTGACCACCCAGCAGAACGCGGCGTCATCTCAGGTCGAGGAGGGGCTCCAGCAGATCTACTTGAACGTGGTGGAGATCCGCAGGCTCATCGGGAGCTTCGAGGGCTTTGCCGAGACGCTGGACGGGATCCACAACGCCGTGGGAGGCATGGCCAACTCTGTCACGCACGTGGAGGCTGCCGTCTCCCAGCTCGGACAGATGATGGTCCAGATAGGCGCGGCAGTGACGGGACTGGTCCACATAGCCAATGCTCAGCTACCAGACCAGGACATCGAGGGCCAATGGACATCAGGGACGGCTTCGGGCTCCGGTGGCCAGGGCCCAGACAGAGCGCAGGGCGGTCCCGACTCTACGATGACTACCGCAACCACCGAGGAGCACTCGACCACAGCTCCAGCAGTCATGGGGACGACGTGGTGGAGTCTGGGACCCATCTCGGAGGAGACCGAGAATTGGGAGGTTCTCCCGAACGAGGCCGAGATCGGCCAGTGAGTCCAGCAAGCCAGGCCGGCAGCACGAGGCGCGGCCCAGACCCCGAGGATTTTCATCTCGGAGCGCCCGGGCGCAGCGGTATGAGGGTACCCGGCCCGAGCCTGGTCGCTAGCTTTCAAGCATGCGAATGCATTTCTCCTGTTCTGCACGAGGCTGCCACTGAGGCAGGCGAGCAGAGCGACATCTACCCGTCCTCCTCCCTTCCCAATTCTCCAATGTTTCTCTATCCTGTGAGCACCGGGCCCAGGAGCGGCACGAAGCGAAAAGAAGAACCGATCGGGGCACCTCCTAGCCAAGAGAAACACAAGCAACTGCGGAGGTTCGAGGGCGGTTCTGGGACCCTCGAGGGCCCAGAGTTTGAGGGGGTCGAATGGCTCGACGGGGATGTCACGAACGACGATCGAGAGGCCTCATGCCCGAGCGAGGTCAGGGAAGCGTTGGAAGCCATGGCGACCTCGCGGAGCACGGGTCACGAGCAACCGAGTCGGAGGACCTCCCGGAAGGTCAAGCGGGGCACGAGCTTTCTCGAAGTCTTTTCCCCTCCCAGGATAGGTCTAGTGCAGAAGCGAGGAGGAACTGTCGGCAAGGTTGTTAGCTGGGACCTGTCTACCGGCTGGAACTCAAGGAACGCTAAGGACCGCAGAAGGCTCTGGAGAAGTATACGTGAGGAGGAACCTCAGACCATCTGGGCCTGCCCTCCGTGTCGGGTCTTCTCTGCCATCAGTCGCTTGAGCGAGGCGGTCCGAGATCCCATCGCCTGGTCCAGGGCGGCACACGAGGGACTCGAGGACCTAATATTCTGTATGAAGATAGCTGATTATCAGATCAGCCACGGTCGGTTCTTTGCTTTCGAGCACCCTCTGTTCGCCATGTCCTGGGACACTCAGGTGGTTCGTGCGATCTCTGAGTTGCCCCAAGTGAGTCGCATTCGAGTGGACATGTGCACGTTCGGCCTCAACCTTACGGGGGAGGGTCTCAACAAAAAGCCGACAGGGATTCTGACGAATCATCCGCGGCTCCAGGAAGTCCTGGGGGGTTGTTGGTGCGACGGCAGTCACAAGCATGTGCTGCTGGAGGGAAAGTCCAGGACCTCCCGGGCTCAGGTTTACCCTCCCCGATTCGTCGAGGCTGTGGCGCGCGCGGTGACAGAACAATGGAGCGGGGCGAGTCAAGGTCGAAAGGTCGCTTGGTCAGAGCTCGACGAGAGTTCCTTCCCAGTCGGCAGTCTCGGCGAGGAAGACATCGATGATCAGGATGACAGTGGAGAAGACGAGCCAGAGACCAGGACCACTCCTACCGACCAGGCCAGGGAACCCGAGCCAGAGCCCAGCGAGCAGGAGAAGCGCCTTATCTTTCGATTGCATCACAACATGGGGCACCCCGACAATCGCAAGTTCATTGGGGTGTTGCGGGCGGGAGGCGTGAAGATACATCTGCTCCGCTGGATCCGTGACTCGTTCAAATGTTCAGAGTGTTCGGAGCGTTCCAGGACCACGAGTCACAGACGTGTGGCTCTACCTCGGACTTTCAGGTTCAACCATATCGTCGGTGTTGATCTCTTCTTCCTTCCCTTTCAGGATCAGACAGTGCCGTTTCTTAACATCGTCGATCACGGGTCAAATCTGCAGATCTGTGTGAGGATCGAGGAAGCTAAGGCGGCCTGTGTCTGGAGGGCTTTCGTGCAGGCCTGGGTTCGTCCATTTGGGGCCCCTCATTTTCTGTTGTCAGATGGTGGCTCAGAGTTTGAAGATCGCTTTGCCAGGGGGCTTGAGCAGTGGGGGGTGCTGCATCACATATGTGACGCCGACTCCCCTTGGCAAAACGGTCGAGTGGAGAGGCACGGAGGTTGGATTAAGGAACGTATTAAGTCGGAGTTAGAAGCAGGTTCCTCGATACCCGCGGATCTTCCCGAGCTGGAGGAACTAGTGTACGAGTTGTGTGCCCATAAGAATCGGTTTTGGCACAGAGGGGGTTTCACCCCACTCCAGCTGGTCCTGGGGGAAAATCCGCGATTGCCCCACGAAATCCTGTCGGACGACCATCTGGGCTTGCCCGGATGGCAGGACAGCTTGAGGCCTGCCGCCGAGCAAGACTCAGCTGGTTCGGAGTTTGCGCGTTCTCAGAAAGTCCGTGAGTTAGCCCGCAGGCTGGCTCTGGAGACGACCTCTCGAGAGAAGATCCAGATAGCGAGTAAGGCCCGAGCCGGACCGACAGTGAGCTTCACGCCGGGCCAATGGGTCTTCGTTTGGCGTCGAATGACCAAATCGGGACCAAGGGCGGACACGCTCGGCCGGAGACGAGACGCGTGGACCGGGCCAGGCATTGTGGTGCTCTCAGAGCGTGGTACGGTTTGGGTGGCCGTGAGATCTCGCTTGTGGAAGTGTTCTCCAGAGCAGGTGCGACTGGCTTCCTCCGAAGAAGAGTTTGGGATTCAGTTGGGTCAAGACCCACAGTGGCACGACCTGCTTGGCCAGGCCAGGACCAGGAGAGCTGCCGCTGTCGACGTGCAGCGAGAGGGCCCCCCTCCGGACGATGCCTGGGACCAGGCCCTGTCGCCAGGATCCGATACGGCGCCTAGCGTCCCAGCGGGCCCTCGGGCTCAATTTGTTCCTGCCAGGGGTCCGGGGTTCGGGGCCGATCGGGGCCCCGAGCCCACGGGGCCTAGCTTAGGTCGGGGCGTTGTGGGTCACCCGAGGTCTCCGTCATCGTCCGGGGGTTCGGTGATCGCCAGAGCTGGGTCCGAGAGAACCCGACTCCCCTCCATATCCGAGGAAGCAGAAGTTCCTTCGAGGCAGGTCACTTCGGACAGTAGTCGTGTTGCTCTGTCACCCCAGGTCGCCCCCTCTCCTCCTCCCGAGAGAGCGGCTGAGGCTCCCGCGCGAGGACTCGAGCCGACGGCGGCAGTGGCGAGCGGCAACGGAGCGGCCGATGTCTCTGTGGCCCCTCCTGTTTCCCCTCTCTCTCCTCTTTCGCTCTCTCCCGCTCCCTTGGTTCCTGGGGACTCTCTCTCTCCTCCCCCTCCTCTCCTTCCTGCTGGGGGGCCAGAGCCAGGACCAGGCCGGGGCAGAGCAAGACTCACCCAGCCTTCAGACGTACCACCATGTATCCTGAGGCGCCGCGCCGAGGACACACGTGCTTTCAGCTGTCCTCCCGGCACGGGCGAGGCAAAGCGGGCTCGAATCGAGCCCCCCCCCGGACTTGCTCCTCCGAGCGAGGGGGCAGGCAGTGCAGGCGACTCAGGACTCTCTCCTCTCTCCGAGGGGCCAGGACAGACTTCGGAGGCCGTTCTCCCTCCTTCCAGCGTTGCTGAGACATCTCCTCACTCACCTTACGATCCACAAGGGCCAGGTCAGAGGCCGGACCGAGAAGCTAGAGGTATCGTCGGTCGAAGGATCGAGGAGTTCGAGGATCGAGCTCGCAACCGCGACCGGTCCCCTCGGCGCGGATATTTCGTGGTAGAAGCCGAAGACAACGGGAGCGCGTGTCTGACCGAGGTCCCGGGGATTGAGCCGGGGGCGGGAGTGTTCGCTGCCAGCCGTGGCGGCGAGGTCTCACTCGGCAAGTTGACGGCGGCCGAGAGAGCCAAGTTCGAGGTGTCAGATGACACGGAGTGGGGAAATATGATGAAGTCAGGAGCTGTGGAGGTGATATCACCTGCTCGGGCGAAGGCGGTCAGGGAGGTATGTCCCGAGCGGATCATCACCAGCCGCATGGTGAGACGGTGGAAGCCGGTGGAAGGCACCTTCTCTGAGCCTCAGGCTAAGTCCCGCTGGTGCGTGCACGGACGCAAGGACCCGGACACGGGGTCACTCTTTGTCTACTCCCCCACTCCTCAGACCACCTCCATCCACATGTTCCTTCAGGTCATGATGAACCTGTCCCTCTTAGGAGACATAGCCGACGTTAAGAACGCGTTTTGCCAATCCGATCCGATGCGTCGTTCTCAAGGAGACATTTACGTCGAGCCATGTGAGGGCATCAAGGTTGAACGCGGATCGCTAATTCTTCTTAAGGTCAATTTGTATGGCCTCGATGATGCGCCACTCGCGTGGCGCAAGACGGTCGTCAGCTTCTTAAAGGATAAGGGTTTCTGTAGGAGTCTGCTAGAGCCGTGCTGGTGGACCCGGTACGATTCGAAAGGCAGAATCCTCAACATGATCCTTCTAGAGGTGGACGATTTTCTGATTGCCAGCGAATCACCAGAGTCACGGAAGTGGCTGAGGGAGACTCTCGAGAGTCGATTCCGGTTCGGGAAATACCGTGACTGTCATGCCGGTCCCGTCGAATACGCAGGCAGATCCGTTCGGGTGGGTCCCCAGCGCACCACTATCGATCAGGAAAAGTACATTCTCGAGGAGCTCCGCCCGATCGTGCTGGCCAGGGGAAGGTTGGGTCAAAAGAAAACGCCTCTTGACAAAGAAGAATTTAAGTCTCTTCGGTCGCTTATATATAAGTTGAACTGGGTCGGACGGGAGTCACGACCCGAGGCCGCAGGTGCGGCCAGTATTCTGGCCAGCAGGCTCAAGGAGCCTACCGTGGGGAATATTGCGTGTGCCAACAAAATGGTGCGGCACCTTAGGGCCACGGCCTCTAGGGGCCTGAGTATCTGGCGACTCGACCCGGAGCGCATGGCGTTTGTGTCGTTTTCTGATTCCGGAGGGGTTGGGGCCAGCGAGGGGCAGCTGGACGAGAGGGGCCTTCCCCAAGACCCCACTCAGGGCGCGTGGATGGTGCTTGCGACGGACAAGAGCGTGATAGATAATCGTGTCGTCCGGGCCTCGATCCTGGGGTGGAGGAGCTCGAAGCTCCGTCGGAAGGTGACGTCCACACTCGCAGGCGAGACGCAAGCACTCTCCCAGGCCGTGGCTGAAGTTGAGTTTCTGCAAGTTTTATATAGGGACATCGTTTTTCGAGATGTCAACGTTTCAGATCTCTGCAGGGGTGCAGGACCGTTCACTACTGTGCTGAGAAGCAACTGCCGGCTCGGCAGTCGCGTGGAGCAGGTCCATGTTGTAGATGCTAAAAGTATCTACGACACGATGCTCAAGGATGGGCATGCGAGTGCGCGTGATCGGCGCACGGCGCTGGACCTGGCAGTGGCGTGCGAGACGTTAGAGAATGCCCGCGGACGCATCCGCTGGATACCACACGGCAGGATGCCGGTGGACGCCATGACTAAGGATGATATCACGAAGGGGAACGCAGCATTGGCCAGTCTGCTCACCCATGGCAAGCTTGTTCTGGTCGACGAGTCGGCAGAGCTAGACCGTCGAAAGCAAGATCCTGGGCACAAAGATAGGTCCCAGGCCGCCTCTCGGAGAACTCTTGCTCAGGACTCTGATCTGGTGTCATGGTCGGCTATTCGCGGTGTCGTCCCGGGTCCGGAGCTCGGCAACCTCTCTTCTCCTCTCTCTCCTTTCCTCGATCCTGTGCAGCAGGACGACTGACTTGTGTGTGCAGTACTGTTAGGGGCTGCTAAACCTCCTACTAGAAAGTCTGACCCATGTGATGGAGTTCCACTTTTCAGGGGTTAGGTTTAGCATGTACATCTTTCTTTAGAGAGCAGGAGACAGAATGACAGACATTCATGATCCGTTGCCGGGTTTGGCTCAAGGCAGAAAGGCATCCGCTCATCCTGCTGCTGCCACAGGAGGAGGAGGAGGAGGAGGAGGAGGGGGAGGAGGAGGAGGAGGAGGAGGAGGAGGACGAGGGGGAGGAGGAGGAGGAGGAGGAGGAGGAGGCGGAGGCGGAGGCGGAGGCGGAGGCGGAGGCGGAGGCGAGGCGGAGGCGGAGGCGGAGGCGGAGGCGGAGGCGGAGGCGGAGGCGGAGGCGGAGGAGGAGGAGGAGGAGGAGGAGGAGGGGAGGAGGGAGGAGGAGGAGGAGGAGGGCGGGGGAGGGGCGGAGGAGGGCGGGGGGAGGAGGAGGAGGAGGAGGAGGAGGAGAGGAGGAGGAGGAGGGGGGGGAGGAGGAGGGGGAGGAGGATGAGGAGGAGGAGGAGGAGGAGGAGGAGGAGGAGGAGGAGGGAGGAGGAGGAGGAGAGGAGGAGGAGGAGGAGGAGGAGGAGGAGGAGGAGGAGGCGGAGGAGGCGGAGGAGGCGGAGGAGGAGGAAGAGGAGGAGGAGGAGGAGGAGGAGGAGGAGGAGGAGCAGGAGGAGGAGGAGGAGGAGGAGGAGGAGGAGGAGGACAGCTACGCTCTGGGCTCAGGCCATTTTGGCAGAGTGAGCTCAGGAGCTCAGGCGCCGCACCTCTGGCTGGGTCAGATTTCCCCAGTGACTGAGGTGCGCGCGACGGCGCGCCTTTCAGTCAAAGAACCCAGTTGGCACAAACGGCACCGTGCACGGCGCGCGCGCGCCTGCTCCAATCCGTCCTCAGAGCTCAGGAGTTGTTGCGCGCCCATCATTCTGCCCCAGGCGGTGGGATGGCGAATGTAGCGGAGAGAGGCACGTGGGATTGCCCGTGTGGGAGATAAGTCAAAGGCCACGTTACCTGTCGATGCGGCAAGTCATATTCTTAGCGTGTGCAGCGGCCTGCTTCGCGTGGGCGTGGTGCATGGGTGCAGCAACCGTCAGCGCGGCCCGAGATCGATCGTGCCCTGGCGGCCTCCGCCCAGCAGCAGGAGTCGAGGAGGCAGGCCCAGCAGAGGCCTCGTGGCACGAGAGGTGGCAGTCAATCCCGTCCGAGGGCGCCCAGCGTGCCACGGCGAGAGACGGACCCTCATGCCCAGGCCTGCCGTGGGATCGTGTCGAGAGTGGTGCCTTGCATGAGGAGCGAGGCACAACAGCACGAGGATGTTGTCGAGCCGCCGGCAGACAAGAACCAGCACAAGGAGTATCGGCGCCAAGGGCAGGCGCGCATGTTAGAGCTAGGAGCTATGGCGCTTGCAGCGCGTCATGCTGGAGAACAGTCGCAGGCGAGCAGTTGCGAGTTTCGGATCAGCGTTATCAAAGCAGCCCTTGGTCAGGCGCTGCCGACGGGGAAGCAGGTCGCAGAATGTCGCAGCAGGCGGGGCGGCATCGCTCAGAAGCTTGCCAACACTCGTGCCAGGATCGAGCAGCTCAGCGAGCAGGAGGCCGATTGTGTTTCGGAATTAAGCAGAATGCACGAGCTCATTGGCGAACTCGAGGAGGTCTTCCAGGAGGAGATGGGGGGCGTGACCATGGCGGGCCCGACGGCGTGCGGCGCGGCCGCGCAATCTGGTGGAGCGCCTGTGCGGCAGCAGCCTGGCATGGCGCGCGCAGAGGGCCCGCTGGCTGGCATCCCGCCGCCGCCGCCGTCATTCCCCAGCGGTGGTGGGTTCCCCTCGCAGCAGAGGCCACCGCCGCAGGTTCCGCAGTCAGCATCCGTCGAGCGCCTGGCCCAGATGATGGAAGGTATGATGTATGCGATGAAGTTGCAGGGAGAGCAGGTCAGCTGCCTGATGGCGATGCAGGGCCTGCAGCCTGGCGCCCCCTCGATGGCGCAGCCCCCCCCCGCCGCCTCTCGGCCAGGGCTTGCAGCAGGCTGCGCCCCCCGTTGCAGCCATGGGAGGGATGCCGCGGCATCGGGCGGCGGCGGCAGGGGTGCAGTTCCCGCCAGCGCCGCCTCTTCCCGCCGCCGCAGCCGCCGCGTCGCCCACAGGAGTGCTGCCCCCGCCTCCGACACCACCGCAGCAGATGCCTTTCGATGCGCATGCCGAGGCGATGCCGCCCACTCCCGCGGCACCCGCGCCCGTCGGGGGCAGGGCAACTCCAGTGCAGGCTGGCGGGCGTGGGTCAAGGTCGTGCTCGCCCATCCCGACGGAGCAGATGACGCCTGCGACGCCCCCTGCCAAGCATGCGCCATCGACGCCTGTCAGCACAGCCGTGCCGTGCGACGACTTGGAGGATGTCTCGCCCCAGCCGATCGACCCCGCGCTGCTGGCCGAGACCCGGGGCGTGCAGGAGCCAGAGGAGTTGATGCCAGGTCCCACCGAGTCAGTCGACGCGCAGGCGCATGGTGCGGCTCAGGTGGAGCCCAGCCCCTGCGGCGAGTCGCAGCCGCGGAAGGAGGCGCGGGCGGCCGCGGCAGCACATGCGCGGTCGATAATGTGACATAGGGCGGTGAGGAGGTGCGTTTCTTCAAGGTCGCCGGGCCGCAGGATGACGCGTACTCGACGGACCTGCTGACGCACCTGCTGCCGCCGAGTCCAGTTCAAGCAGTAGTTAGTGACAATGCGCGTCAGGCCTTCTGGCTTGCGTGCCGCAGCATATCGCAGTCATGGGAGGGGGGCTGTGGGACGTGTGACGCGGGTGGGGAGGGAGCTTTCGCCACAATCAGCCGTGCTCTCAATGCGCAGGCCAAGCCTGTTGCATGCCCTCCTGGCCAGGGCCCAGGTGGCCCTCTCGCTTCTTCGATCGAGTTCGCCTGGCCAGGTTCGAGTGTCCCCGCTTTCTGCTCTAGTTTGCCAGGGCCAGGCATCGATCGCCCTGCCATGGGCGATACTTTTAAGGGCTATATCTCAGATGGTCGTGTCACGATAGTCAGTGCGACGGAAGGCTGACTGCGTTCTGGCCTGATTTGCAGAGGCTGTCGCCTCCTGTTGTCTACTCGGGTGGGGCGGGTGGCGAGGGTGGGGGCGGTTCTCACGCAACGTATCCTGCTCGCTCGCAGTTGGGGCCGCAGAGTAACGCAGGCGCTTCGCACGAAGGCTCTTCTCTAGGCTCGTCGCCTGATGCAATCAGTCGCCGTAGCAGTGATGATCCAGTGGCTGCAGCCGCTCAGAGTGCTAGTAGGTGTAGCTATGTTATGGGTGATAGTATGCATGCATATGGCTCTAGCAAGGCAGCACGTGTCATACTCGAGTTAGACCCCCTACTATTCCCCGAAGGCGAGCAGAACACTTGCAGTTTTGGCCAGGGGTACCGGGTCCGTGACGCGCTGGTTAACCCAGCTAATACCATTTTGTTGGCTTCTGATCTCCAGGAGATTACGTTCAAGGATGCGGCGCGTGCCGTGTGCGACGCAGTGCGCCTTCATGTCCAGCTATGCGAGCATATCCACTTTTTTACGGACGGATCCGCCCCTAGTGATCATAGAAGGCAGGCTGGGCTTTCGTAGTCACGTTTGGGTTTGACGCGTATAGTGTGTGGGGTGGATCTTGCGCTGGGCGTCTTGTTCCCTCGTTAGGCTTTGCCTCGGGTGCTGTACCGTCCAGCACTACTGCCGAGCTCGGGGGTATCCTGCGGGCCCTCTGCTGGATAGTCAGCCAACAGCAAGTAAGTAGCATGTCGGATGAGGGCGTAAGGGTTGTTGCGCAGCCTCGTGTCACTGTTCATTGTGATTCCACCTCGGCAGTTGACTTAGCTTTGGGAGAAGGCAGTCGCCACTGCAGACAGGCAGCTAGTATGGCTTGCCAGACATGTTTTACTTCTCGCTCGCCAGGTGTGTTCAGTTGATATCCAGCATGTGAAGGGGCACAATGGGTGCTTCTGGAATGAGGTAGCAGATGACCTTGCTAACTCCACGCTAGTTTGGCAGCACCAGTGTTGTCCCCCTGGGCTAGTGGAGTAGCTCTACTTCGATCCTGACCTGTCCTGGGCCTGGTTGTTGGATTTGAGTGACGTGGAACGGGCTGCGTACCCCCTTGTCTCATGCGATCAGTTAGCTCTAGTTGGCCGACCGCAACAGTGCTCCGTGCAGTCCCTCATGCAGACTCTTGACTTGGAAGAGTCTCGGAACACCAGCCGTGTCGCTCGTTACTTTCTCGTTGCCTCGCACAGTGCCCAGACGGCCCTGGACGAGAAAAGTGACGGCAGCAGGCCCTTGAAGGGCCAATGGGTTAGGCAGCAGCTGCGTGATGCAGGCGTACTGCTAGCGTCATCCAGGAAGCCCGAACCGTAGAGGGGTCCCGTTCGGCCGACGGTTTTTTTCCTTATGGCGTCAGGCTCCGTCAACGGCAATTGGGGGTGTGAGTTGCTAGCTAACCTGGGGGTGCCCTATGCTGCCCGTGACGGGCGCGACCTTTTCCTGTCACCGCAGCACGTTGTTGTTGTTGAGAAAACCCCTTTGTGTGCTGGTTGCAAAGGTAAATGCGCCTTTCTGGCAGACGGCCGCCTGCGCGGCCCATGCCCCCCATGGCGGAGTGGCGCTCTTAGAGAGGCAGGAATGGTGGAGGTCTCTCAGTAAGGGTGCAAGTCTCGTTCGTAGATGCTCATGGGCGCATCGGCGAAGTCCGTGCGGAGGCTACTGGCACTTGTGCCGCTGCTATGCCTGAGGACTCCTATGGGTCGCTCTTTCGTGCCACCTTGTGTGAGAGTCGCACGGTTGCTTCCACCACTTTCTCCCCTCCCCCTCCCCAGCATATACCTACACCAGTGCTGACGGTGAGAGGCACCGCATCGATTTTGTGGTTCCCCACTGCGAGTGGCAATCCTTTGTAGAGTCACACTGGGTGTGGCATGATTTTGACGGTTGCAAAGCTAACGAGGACCACTACCCCGTGATGGTCACGTTTTCGTGGTCTGAAGAGGCTGCTCTAGTTTGCCAGGGCCAGGCATCGATCGCCCTGCCATGGACGATACTTTCAAGGGCCATATCTCAGATGGTCGTGTCACGAATAGTCAGTGCGACGCAAGGCTGACTGCGTTCTGGCCTGATTTGCAGAGGCTGTCGTCTCCTGATGTCTACTCGGGTGGGGCGACTGGCGAGGGTGGGGGCGGTTCTCACGCAACGTATCCTGCTCGCTCGCAGTTGGAGCTGCAGAGTAATGCAGGCGCTTCGCACCAAGGCTCTTCTCTAGGCTCATTGCCTGATGCAATCAGTCGCCGTAGCAGTGATGATCCAGTGGCTGCAGCCGCTCAGAGTGCTAGCGTGTGTAGCTATGTTATGGGTTATAGTATGCATGCATATGGCTCTAGCAAGGCAGCACGTGTCATACTTGAGTTAGACCCCTACTGTTCCCCGAATGCGAGCAGACACCCTGCAGTTTTGGCCAGGGGTACCGGGTCCGTGACGCGCTGGTTAACCCAGCTAATACCATTTTGTTGGCTTCTGATCTCCAGGAGATTACGTTCAAGGATGCGGCGCGTGCAGTGTGCGATGCAGTGCGCCTTCATGTCCAGCTATGCGAGTATATCCACATTTTTACGGACGGATCCGTCCCCAGTGATCATTGGAAGGCAGGCTGGGCTTTCGTAGTCACGTTTGGGTTTGACGTGTGTAGTGTGTGGGTTGGATATTGCGCTGGGCGTCTTGTTCCCTCGTTAGGCTTTGCTCTGGGTGCTGTGCCGTCCAGCACTACTGCCGAGCCCGGGGGTATCCTGTGGGCCCTCTGCTGGATAGTCAGCCAACAGCAAGTAAGTAGCATGTCGGATGCGGGCGTAAGGGTTGTTGCGCAGCCTCGTGTCACTGTTCATTGTGGTTCCACCTCGGCAGTCGACTTAGCTTTGGGAAAGGCAGTCGCCACTGCAGACAGGCAGCTAGTTTGGCTTGCCAGACATGTTTTATTTCTCGCTCGTCGGGTGTGTTCAGTTGATATCCAGCATGTGAAGGGTCACAAGGGGTGTTCTGGAATGAGGTAGCAGATGACCTTGCTAACTCCACGCTAGTTTGGCAGCACCAGTGTTGTCCCCCCTGGGCTAGTGGAACTTCGATCCCGACCTGTCCTGAGCCTGGTTGTTGGATTTGAGTGACGTGGAACGGGCTGCGTATCCCCTTGTCTCATGCGATCAGTTAGCTCTAGTTGACCGACCGCAACAGTGCTCCGTGCAGTCCCTCATGCAGACTCTTGACTTGGAAGAGTCTCGGAGCACCAGCCGTGCCGCTCGTGACTTTCTCGTTGCCCCGTGCAATGCACAGACGGCCCTGGACGAGAACACGCGACGGCAGCAGGCCCTTGAAGGGCCAATGGGTTAGGCAGCAGCTGCGTGATGCAGGCGTGCTGCTTGCGGGCGTCCAGGAAGCCCGAAACGTAGAGGGGCCCCGTTCGGCCGACGGTTTTTTTCGTTATGGCGCCAGGCTCCGTCAAAGGCAATTGGGGGTGTGAGTTGCTAGCTAACCTGGGGGTACCCTATGCTACCCGTGATGGGCGTGACCTTTTCCTGTCCCCGCAGCACTTTGTTGTTGAGAAAACCCCTCGTGTGCTGGTTGCGAAGGTCAATGCGCCTTTCTGGCAGACAGCCGTCTGTGTGGCCCATGATCCCCATGGCGGAGTGGTATTCTTAGAGAGGCAGGAATGGTGGAGGTCTCTCAGTGAGACATTGACCAAGTTTGGGGTGCAACTCTTGTTCATAGATGCTAATGTGCGCATCGGCGAAGTCCGTGCGGAGGCTGCTGGCACTTGTGCCGCTGCTGTGCCTGAGGGCCCCAATGGGCCGCTCTTTCGTGCCACCTTGTGTGGGAGTCGCATGGTTGCTTCCGCCGCTTGCCCCCCTCCCACCTCCCCAGCATATACTTACACCAGTGCTGACGGTGAGAGGCACCGCATGGATTTTGTGGTTCCCCATTGCGAGTGGCAAACCTTTGTAGAGTCACACTGGGTGTGACATGATTTTGACGGTTGCAAACCTAAGGAGGACCACTACCCCGTTATGGTCAGGTTTTCGTGGTCTGAAGAGGCTGTCTCCTGCTCCTCTCGGCCACGACTGGACGTAGTTAAAAATCTTGATCAGGATCAGATCGATGCTTTCGTTGCGGATTTGGAGGCAGCCCCAGTCGTTCACTGGTCCGTTGATGTTAACCGGCATGTCCAGGAGGTCTCACAGCTGATCTGGAGCGCCGCCAGGAAACACTTTGGCGCTGTTCCGCGTAAGGCGCTCAAATCGTTTGTTCTGGAAAGTACCCTGGCATGAATCCGCATCCGCCGCAGGTTTCGGTCAGTCATGCGAGCGCTTCGTGAGCTCAATTCCTCTCCTCTTTCTGACCTGGCCAAGGACTTCAGCCAGTGGGCTGGGAATGGGAGTGATCCCGGGGACCCCCTAGTCCTGTCCTTCCCCGCATTAGTTGAGGCCGTTAAGCCTCTTGGACTTGCAGCGGTCATGTGGTGCGCTTGTGACATACCCTTGGCTCAGGTGCATGGGTGTCTTGTCGTGTGCATGCGTCGCACGCGTGCATGTGTGCGTGCGAAGTTGCGCCAGGATCGCACGGATGCCCTTGAAGGGATGGCCTTGGACATTTGTGATGCTGTATGTAATCATGAGGCAACGGCGGAGTGGCGTCAGTTGAAGTTGTTGATGACATTTCGCGGTTGGAAGCGTAGTGCAGGTCAGGGTGCCCTCCCCCATAGGGTCGGAGCGGACGGGCAAGTTTTGGAATCCGCTGAGGCTATCGCCGATGCCTTTCTGGCTAAGTTTGCAGCCCCAGAGAAGGCCAACGTCCTCGATTTGGAAGAGCTGGTGTGCAAGTACAACCAGCAGCAAGCTGGGTTTTAAAGCTTTGGGAACCGCTCTATCGAGCACTTGCTTTCCTGGGACGGTTTCCTGGCCAGTGTGATAAATGCGCCCAAGGGGCGTGCTGCTGGGGGGGGGATGGTCTCTCGAATGACCTGTTCAAGCATGCCCCGCCGCCATTGCCCGACTCGTTGCCTGTACATGTGAAAGTTCAGCTCTTGGCTCGTGAGCCGCTCGCTTGGAAGGGTGGTATCGCTCATGACTTGTACAAATCAGGTGCGCCCAAGCTGATCTCTAATTATAGGGAGATCCTGCCAGGTTCCCATTTGTCCAAGCATCACCACAAATTCTAAGGAGTATGCTCGCTGATGTGACCAAATCCCTCTGACATGACACACAGTGTGGGGGGCGTGCTGGGTGCGGAACAGACCGTGCTAGCCGCATGGTGCGGACGTTGCAGGCGCGTGCGCGTGCGCGTGGGCTCACATGCGTGCTGTTCTTCACAGACCTCAAGGCAGCGTTTCACTCAGTCACCCGTGAATTTCTCCAGTGCGATCCAGGTTGCACTTGTTGGCCAGATGAAGCACTTAGGATCGATAGTTGAGGCCCAAGGCTCCATGAGGCCCGAGCTCACCTACCGTGCCAGTACTCAGGCTGGTGTTCTCGGGTGTTTGCGTCGTGCCGTGTTCGAGGGTTCTGATGTTTCGGTCCAGGCCAAGGCTAAATATGCTGGCGCTTTCTGCTCATCCCGGCTACTGTTCCATGCGGGGACTTGGGGCCCTCTCAATGCCATGTGTCAGCGTCAGCTCGAGTCGTCCTATCTTGCCCCCTTGCATGCGATTGTCGGGCACTTGTCTACTCCCTTTGGTCCTCGGCGCCGGCCGAATCATGAAGTTCTGTCGCGCACGCAGCGCTTGCCTGTTGCAGTCGCGGTCATCCTCCGTCGTCTCCGCTACCTTCCGAAGTTGCTTAGGAGAGGGCCAGCCTTCTCCTTGCATGCTCTCGATCGCCTTGTCGGAGTGAAGGGATCATGGGTTGAGCAGTTGAGAATTGACTTCGAATGGTTCGCACATTATGCAGACCTGCCACAGGAGGAGAGGCCCTATGGAGACTTCCGTTGGTGGGTTAGGCCCGCTGAACGGGCAGAGTGGAGGGTCTGGTGTCGGCGTGCCCAATGTGCTGCCTTGCGTGTGTACACGAGCCACTATGAAATCAAGGCCTGGCATAGTGTGTTACGAGAGGTCTGTGATCGAGGGGGTTGCCCACCCCCCAGTGCTTGCGCACTTCAGATCCAGACCCCCTTTTATCCGTGTAGGGACGGTGATGCAGTTTTCAAGGCCCATAGTGCCTGGTCAAGACATAGAGCGATCGAGCACCCGCAACTCGGTTTGGCATGGCATTATGCCAGGGGTACCCAGTGCCAAGCGTGTGGTTTGGAATGGTTCACTCGTCCTAGGCTATTGTGCCACTTGAGGTTTGGGTCTAAGCGTTATCTCAGCGCGTTGGCCCATCATTTGGCACCCATGAGTCTTGAGGAGGTCCTTGCCCTTCGGTCTGAGGATGCGTGTGTTGCTAAGGACCTCAAGAGTCGTGGCAAGTGCCATGCGTGTGCTGAGCAGCCCCCCCCATCCGTTTCATCGGCCCCACCATAGGGGGACCTTGCCACCAGGCTGTTAACCGTGCCAGCACTATAGGAGTGGAGCCACCCCTGTTTGATGAGCCTGGTGCGTATGCTTCGGTCCCATGGGCCCCGACTGCCACTAGGTATTACCTGCATTTGTTCACTGGGCAGCGTCGGCATGGAGACGTGCAGTTTGTCTTCGACGCTTTTCGGGAGCGGTCCGAGTTGCCAGTTATTGCTTTTACCGGTTGATGTCGCTAGCGACAGAATTCACGGGGATTTAACTAGCCGCCCTGCCATCGAAATGTTTGTGTCTATGATGTGGTCGGGTGAGGCTCTCGGGGTCCTGGGTGGTCCGCCTTGTGAGACGTGGAGCGCGGCTCGGCGGTTCGCCCCCCCCCCCCCCCCCAGTGACAGCAGTGGCCCGCGCGTCGTGCGCAGCGCTGCTCAGCCGTGGGGACTCCCGCAGCGTACGCCAAAAGAATTGCGTCAAGTCCTTCTCGTCTCCCGATTGTTGCAGACTATGATCGAGGCTGCGCATGCGTGTGCAGCAGCAGGAAGGTTCTTCGTGATGGAGCACCCTCGTAAACACGAGCTCGCGCACCTGCCATCCGTGTGGGGGTTAGCGGAGGTGCGTGCCATCCTTGGATTTGCTGGTAAGGGCGCGTGTAGGTCCGTGCGCATGCGCAATGTGGATCTGTGCGCGGGTGGCGCGCCGTCTCAGAAGCCAACCACTCTGCTTTTGATTAACGCCGAGCCCGTGTATGATCGTCTCCTTATGTTGCCTAATAGGGGGTGCTGTAATCATCGCTCGCATCGTGTTACGTTAGCAGGTGTGCATGACAATGGGCAGTTTGTATCCTCCGCGGCCAAACAGTATCCCGCGGAGTTATGTAAGCTGTTTGCAAATGCTATGGCGACTGATGTCTGCCGTTTCCAGCATCAGTGCGTGCCAGTATTTACTGAGCTGTCAGGTGTGATGGCTCCGTTCTGGATGCCACTGGACCCCTTTTATGAGCAGCATGTGTGGGATAACTTTGCCCCCGGATGCCGCGCGTTGAGTGGGTCGTCCATTCATGCATGTCCGTCAGTGCGACCGCGTGTCCCCATCGGTGGTTAATAAATAGGAGGACAGCTCCAGACCGAATCACTGTGTGGACGTCGTCGTCGTCGTAGTGGTGGTTGTTGTCGTCGTCGTGATCGTCGTCGTCATCGTTGTCGTAGCCTTCGTCGTCGCTCGTCGCCGCCCTTGTCGTCGTCGTCGTTGTCGTCGTCGATGATCACGCGAGCGAAAATGACAACAGCAAAGCGTTGCGCAGCCGAGACTGCGTAAATCCTAAGCGCGCGAAGCGCGCGTGGTTCGAGTGTATGTATGTATGTATGTATGTATGTATACCTATACGACCACCCTGCGGGTGATTAGGAGGTTGTGTGTGCGTGGGGGGGGGGTGGGGGCTCATGAAGACAACTGTGGTGAATGTGGTGCTGATGGCCGATGATGGTGTGACTGACGTGGCGGATTTGTTTTTGTTATTTCGCTTGGGCGTTTCGTGTCACTCGGTTTGCCGCTGCGCGACGCGGCGCTCACCCCGCGACGGTCCAGTCGACGATGCGTGCACTGCCTGGCTCAAACTGGAAGAGCCGGGCCCGCCCGCGCGCGCGCCTGGCGCCCCCGCCGAAGCGGGCCCGCGTGAAACGGACGGCGCGGCCAGGCTGGAGCTGGCAGCGCCTGGCTCGCCCACGCGCGCCGAGACCTGCGCCGACTCGGGCCCATGCGGAAGTGGCGGCGCCGCCAGGTCGGAGCTGGCAGCGCCCGGCTTGCCCGCGCGCGCCGGGAACGACTGCCGCTGAGCGGCCTCCCGCAGCTTGCAATCCTCGCGCGCGTCTTTGACTGCGCGCCACTGCGTCGGCGCCGCCGGCTACCTGGCGGGGGCCCCAAGACTGGCCGCGTACTTCATGAGCTCCGCCTTCTTCATGTTATCCACGCGGCCCCCCATCTCGTGGATAGCCCGCCCGCAGAATTGCGCGAGGAGGGCGCCCTGGGGAGGTGGCGCGAACGCAGCGGGCGCCTTGAGCCGGAGGAGGAGGAGGAGAGCGACGGGCATTAGAAGGAGGAGGAGGAGGCGGAGGAGGAGGAGAAGGAGGAGGAGGAAGAGGAGGAGGACGAGGCGGATGAAAATGAAAACGGTCATGAAGATGATGGTGGTGGCGGTGGCGATGATGAGGAGATCTTCACATATGCAAATTCACACAAACAGGGGAACTGGAAGGACGGCATGGCCAATGCATGACGGCATGTATTTGTTCTCTGACGACTAAGTGGCCCAAGAACGGCACCCCCCCCCGGCCCATGATGCCAAAGGAAAGTGGCCGCCATCCTCAGAGGAGGGAGGAGAGGAGGAGGGGGGCGATGAATGACAATCGAGCCTCCGTCCTAGCAAAAAGGCGACGAGCTGACCGACTTGCGTCGCATGGCCTGAGCCCTTGAGCCGGACTAAAGATCTAAAGAGTTAGGTGAGATTGAAAAAAATAAGGATACGAGGAGGAGAAGCAAGAGAAGGTGTCCCATGATGAGCAACCATGATGGTATCCCATGATGAGCAGCCATGATGAGCAACCTGCGGGACAATGATGAGCAACCTGCGGGACAATGATGAGCAGCCGTGATGAAGAACCGTGATGGGCAACCATCATGGGCAAACAGGGGGACAATGATGATTTCACGATCGGTCTCACTTTCGATCTCACTATAGATCTCACTATCGATCCAACATTCGGTCTCACATTCGGTCTCACAATCGATGTCACTATCGATATCACCATCGATCTCACTATCGACCCCACCATCAGACTATGGATCTGCTAATATATATCACTATCGATCTCGCTATCGATCTCACATTCGGTCTCACTATCGATCTCAATCGATACAACAATAAATGTCACAATCGATCTCACATTCGGTAACACGATCGATCTCACTATCGATGCCATTAGTGATCTTACTATCGATCTCGCGGTCGATCACACGATCGATCTCGCGACAGGACACCGACGGGCCACCGACGGGACAATGCATGCTCGAGCTTTCAATCGATATCATAAACGGTATCACTATCGATCTCACAATCGATCTAACTATCGATCTCACAATCGATCTCACAACAGATCTCACTATCGATCCCACGATCGATCCCACATTCGATCTCACAATCGATCCCATTCCCGGCGCCACTATCAATTTCACGGTTGATCTCACTATTGATCTCACTATCGATGTCACGATCGATCCAACATTCGGTTTCACATTCGGTATCACTATTGATCTCACTTTCGTTGCCACTATCAATTTCACGATCGATCGCACTATCGATTTCACTATCGATTTCACGACAGGACAACGGCGGGCGACCGACGGGACAATGCGGGCTACCGCTTGACACGCGCCGGCGGGGGAAACATTTATATTGGCGAACCACTAGCGACTGACAGGACAACGGCGGGCGACCGACGGGACAATGCGGGCCACCGCTTGACACGCGCCGGCGGGGGAAACATGTATGTTGGCGAGTCATTAGCGACAGACAGGACATCGGCGGGCAACCGACGGGACAATGCGGGCTACCGCTTGACACGCGCCGGCGGGGGAAACATGTATGTTGGCGAGCCACTAGCGACAGACAGGACAACGGCGGGCAACAAACGGGACAATGCGGGCCACCGCTTGACGCGCGCCGGCGGGGGAAACAATTATGTTGGCGAGTCATTAGCGACAGACAGGACAACGGCGGGCAACCGACGGGACAATGCGGGCTACCGCTTGACACGCGCCGGCGGGGGAAACATGTATGTTGGCGAACCACTAGCGACAGACATGACAAACGCGGCGGGCAACCGACGGGACAATGCGGGCCACCGCTTGACACGCGCCGGCGGGGGAAACATTTATGTTGGCGAACCACTAGCGACAGCAGACTGAATTTCTCTCGCCCGCGCGCGCAGCTTCGCCTCGCCCGCGCGCACGACGCGAACACGAAACCGAAACCGATTTCCCGGTGGGGGGCTTTCCGTTCCACTTCGATCTCACCCCCCAACCTCCGATGTATATATATATATATATATACACACATATATATATATACATATATATATATATATATACATATATATTCTCCTCTTCCTATATTGTTTTAAGCCCGGGCGGGGCGAAAACCCATCACCCCCCCCCCAAAAAAAAACGGACTCCCGGGACCTGGGGCTTTGAGGCCTTCGGACGGGCGTCGAAACGGCTCTTGGGCCTCGCAAGGCGTTGTGCCAAGCCTTCCCAGCACACTTAGGGCGTTCGGGGGGTCATCGGAGACGTCCCAAAGACCCTCAAGACAGCACAAGGGCGCTCCAAAACTGACCGACGTGACGTCAAGATGGCCTAAGAGGCCTCCAGGACGGCCCCAGAGAGGCCTCCAAGAGCACTCCCATGAAGGCCCCCCGAGGCAAGAAAAATGATTTTCTGTTGGTTTTTTTGTGAATTTTGGGGTTTTCCTCTTTTCGGCTTCCCGACGCTCCAAGACGGCGGTCTTCCGGGCGTCCGAAGCCGCCTGGGAGGCTCCCAGATCGCCCCACAACCATCCGAAAGGGCTTCCAGGCAATCCAAGAGAGCCCCAAAACGGCACAACACGGGTCCAAGATGGCCCTCAGAGAGCCCCATGGCGGCCCAAGATGCCCCAAGGACACCTTCCGAATACTTCCAAATCGTGATTCGGTCGTTCAGGGAAACGGCGGTTGGAGGCAGGGTGGCCCGAAGAAGCCCCCGGAGGCCCCCAGAAAACGCCCAGGAGGCTTCCAGAAGGCCTGAAGAAAGCCCGAAACAACTTTTGTGAGGCCCCTAGAGGCTCTCCAAGGAGGAGCCTCCGCAAAAAAAGAGCTGAGGAGGATGGGGAAAATGCGCAGGGTATGGCGAACATAAAAAGCAATAGTCATAACATCATTATAACGGCGATGCCAGAAAAGGCAACCATGAGTTATCGCTAAATTGTCGGCTTGACATTCCTGCCATTCCGCCTGCATTCCAAACTTCAAGGACCAAGGTGCATGGCGCGAAGCGTCATTGCAGCCTTGTATATATATATATATACACATATATATATACATCTATGCGTGCGTGTGTGTGTTTTGTGTGTGTGTCTGTGTATGTGTGTTTGTGGGTGTGTGTGTCTGTGTGTCTGTGTGTGTGTGTGTGTGTGTTTGTGTCGATGTGTGTATGTGTGCGTGTGCGCGTGCCCAGTTGTCAGACAGGTGTTTGGTAAGCCTGGTAAATGCCAACGCCAGAGATAAGTAGCTTGCGAATTCTGTCGGACGCAAATCGCGAATCGCATGCCGCGCCCCTCCCCGCTCCTAGCTTGCGAATCCCATCGGGCACAAATGGCGAATCGCATGCCGCGCTCCCCCCCCCCTCCTTGCTTGCGAGTCCCATCGGGCGCGCGTCGCTAATCGCACATAATGCCCCTTCCCCCCTCCTGGCTTGTGAATCCCATCGGACGCAAATCGCGAGTCGCATGCCGCGCCCCTTCCCCCCTCGTAGCTTGCGAATCCCATAGGGCGCAAATTTTTAATCGCATGCCGCGCCCCTCCCCCCCGCTCTTGGCTTGCGAGTCCCATCGGACGCAACCCGCTAATCGCATACCGCGCCCCTCCTCCCCCCTCCTCCTCCTCCTCCTCCTCCTCCTCCTCCTCCTCCTCCTCCTCCTCCTCCTCCTCCCCTCCTCCCTCCTCCCTCCTCCCTCCTCCCCTCCCTCCTCCTCCTCCCTCCTCCCTCCTCCCTCCTCCCTCCTCCCTCCTCCTCCTCCTCCTCCTCGTTTTCCTCCTCCTCCTTCCCGTCTCCCCCCTCCTCATCACCGGAAGGGTGGCCCGTGAGGCCCGCGCCGCTGCGCCCCGCACCTCGCCCGAACCGAATGGCTCGGCCTGCGGCGCCGGCCCTGCGGAGTTTTGGTGATCTTCTGCCTGCTTCGTGGGACGGGGCAGGCCCTGACCGTGGTCATCCGCTCGCCCAAACCGCGCACGTCGGTAAATCGAAGCGTTTTAAGTGACCGTTGCAAGTAGGATTTTGGATTTCCGGACTCCAATCCTAGTGTAAGGTCACCTTCCCACTTCGATGATCGAATGGCTTCGCCTTTTTCCGTCCTCCTTAGGAGGCGGACGGACACCCAATCGACTGTCAACGCGTTCCGAATTCATGTTTCTACATATTTCTTTTGACCGATGGGTAGTGGACATTCCCCCCGCTCCCCCAAACTCAAAGGTGGCACGCGCAGGGAAGACTGCTGTCGAAGTGCAGCTCACTCAATCCACCGCCAACATTGATCATTGGGGGGGCATTGACATATGAATGCGGCACTGGACCAATGTCTGAGATCGTACCCTCGTTTCTTTAGCAAATGCTCCGTAAGTATTCTAAGGATAATGAAACGGCATAAACATACACTTGTGGCGCTCCGCGCGGATTTCTTGGATCCGGCGCCTCGGGCGCCCCCCCTGGCGCGCGGAGCGCGCCAGGGACGGGGGTTCAACGCAGATCGACGGAATCCGCGCGGACCGTCAAACGTGTATGGTTATGCCTTTTTTTGGTTTGTCTAAATTCAGCAGGCATGATTTACAGCATTTGGGGAGGCCTGCTCCAGAGCGCGCCCAGGCCAAGACATCACTAGCTTGGGAAACGAATCGAAGCTTGGTCCTTGGACAGAAACATCGCACCCTCGCTTCCGCGTGGCGATCCGAGGCCAATGCAGTTTGTGGACCGTATGATCTCGGGCTCCATGATCTTCGGGTTCCTCGCGCCGCAGGGAGCGGCCATGGCCGATCTCTTCGCCAAGACGCCCGAGAAACTCGCAGTGGCCGCTGCCACCGCTGGGATGTTCTTCGGCGTCGGCACCACCGTGGGGCCCTTCATCGGCTCGAAGCTGGGCGGCGCCAAGTCGTTCTTGGCCTCTAGCATCGCCTTCCTCGTCACCGCTGCGTGGGTGCAGTTCGGGCTGAGCGAGACCCTCTCCACGGACGCTTGCGTGTGAAATGCATTATGTTGGGTGCAGAACGCGCACCCGCACCCCCATGCGGCCCCCTCACACCTCTGGGCTGGGCCAAAGAGCTTCGGATCCCGATTGAGAGTGGTTCGGGGAAACGACACAACACACTATACATATACATCTATATATGTGTGTGTGTGTTTATACAGATGTATAAACACATATACATGTATACCCCGCCCGCACTTGCCCCCCCCCCCCTTTCTGGGGAGGGGGGCTCAGGTGGGGCTGCTCCCCTGTATTTGGCCACAGCTTTTCAGCGTGGTGTATGCTGGAGGGGAGGAAAGGGTATGAGGAGGACGTGGAGAAGTGGCCGCAGAAGGAGGGGCCTGATGGAGGTGTCATCGTTTTAGAGGTTCCCCGAGATCTGCCCTCGGCCTTCACGCTCGAGGGCGGCCCTTGGCTTCGGTGCCTCCTCGGTCTTACAGTCAAGCCGCATAGTAAGGATGAGCGACTGTCCTTGCATCCTTCCCCTTCGGCCCTTCCTCGGCCGCTTTCGCTGGCCGCGCCCCGCCCACAGAGTGTCTACGAGGCCTTCCAAGGCCCTTGCATTCTTACTGCGCATCCTCACAGTACGTGTTGGCTGTACCCCGTTGGAACTTTCCTATCTTGTTATCCAATTGCGCTGCCGCGCTTGTGCTCCACAGTGCTTCGTGAGGCTGAGGTGTGGGGGGGAAGGGGGGGCGGCAGGGGTGTTATGAAAGGCTTCGCCGGGAATTCTGAGATCCCCACCCGTCAGGTCGGGGCTGAGAGACTTCGGACACAGCCCCGACTGGCCCTGCATACCGTGGCCGCTGGGCCCAAATTGTAGAGCCCCGCCTCGTCAGCTTTGCATGCTCTGGCCGCCAGGCCCAAAATATCCCCGACCTGTCCTTGACAGTCCCGCCCCGCCAGCCCTGCGTGCCGCGGCCGTCGGGCCCAAAACATCCCCGAGTGCCCCTGAGAGGCCCGCCTCGGCAGCCCTGCATGCCGCGGCCGTCAGGCCCGAAGCATCCCCAAGTGTCCCTGAGAGTCCCGCCTCGGCAACCCTGCATGCCGCGGCCGCTAGGTCCACCGTACTCCCGACTAAGAGTCCCGCCTCGGCAGCACTGCATGCCGCGGCCGCTAGGCCTCACGTGTCCCCGAGTGTCCCTGAGAGTCTCGCCTCGGCAGTTCTGCACACAGCGACCGCCAGGCCTGAAGTATCCCGGAGGGATCCTGACCATCGGCGTCTTGCGGGAACCATTATTCGGGGATGCTCGAAGATCGTTACACCGCCTGTCCCAAGCAGCACTCATCAACATCATATGTTCGGGTGAGACATCACTGTCTTTCATTCGGAGCACACATCATGGACGTACACCAAGAACACATGATTTCTCAGCATCAGCGACCTTCACTAAACAGGCACCCATTCCATACACCTAATCTCATACAACGAGGTCATTTGTCAGAGCAGACGCCAAAACCATACCTCCTTAACGCCAGTCGGCAGACCACAGCAATCTCATACGCTACTACGATGCAGTACTGATCTGCACCAGCAAGATGCCCCACCCGTCTATACCCATATTTTATGCCAAGAACACTCACAGGTAATATGCATCGATACCGCACATCAGCGGCATACCCGAGTGGCACGCATTGGTTGGGGACATGTAAATATATACTTTCACTCCAAGTATACCTGTCATTGATGAATACGCCAGTCACATATAGCAGCACCGTCATCCACCACACTTACTGCAGCATCGTGTATCACCACACATCCGGGCCATGCATCCGTAACATACATTGTTCATGCACGCCAAATGCACGCGTCAGCAACACACCGATTGTAAACATCAATCGCACCAGCAGCAGTCACCGCTACCAAGCACCAGTGATATACATCAATAATGGGCATCAAGTGCAGACATACATCATCCTCAGACATCAGAGAAACATGTATTGATGTACTTCCGCTCCTCGGCGGGGATCGCTCTGGGGCGAATCTTGCTGACCTAAGGCGACTACGTACATCTTTTCAGTCCGGAATGGATTCATCTCAGCCGAAAGAAAACAGTGTTTTTTCAAAGGGACCTCCACGAGTGGGAGCTCACGTTAACAGGGGCCCGACACGCACAAGCTGCGGCACAGCGTTGCGGTGGTGCCACCCTTCCAGAGGGCTGATCTGGTTTCCACTGGCAGAGGCCAGCTAGCCTTCGCTGCCAGGATCACGGTGGCGGTTGCCCTGACCGCAGGGTGCCAACCTTCGGCCAGAGTTGCACTGGTTGTTGCCCAGAGGGTGCCGGCTATAGGCCATCGGGTCTTGCCCACTGGCCCTGGCTGCCAGGCTGTTCGTAGTAGCCCAGAGGGTCCCGCCACATGGTCCCGCCACATGGTCCTGCCCACAGGCCTTGTCTGCGAGGGCTGTGTCGATGGTTGTCCATGCTCAGGTTCCTGCGCCCAGAGTCCCAGCCTACATTGCCTTTCCGGCGCTCTCTGATATTCTTGAGTCTATTCAATGGTATCATGCCATTTCTATGCAGACGTAGGGAGACTTATATGTATGTTGCGTCATCCATCGAGGATAGCAGGAAAGAGTTCAAGCTTTCGTCCGTGAACCCGCTGGCCTTCATGGCCCTTCTCAAGGATAAAACCCTGGCGATGTTAGCAGGAGTCGCTATGCTCCAGTCGTTCGGCGATTATGTTAACGTCTACGACATCAACAACCTTTATATGATCAAAGTCTTGGGCTACGATCCCCCGCAGATAGGGAACTTTGCCATGAGTGTGGGGCTGTCGCAGATTGCTGGCGGCTGGGCCACCGGCAAGCTTGTGAAGGGGATCGGCTTGAAGTCCCACGTGTTATTCGCAAATCTCGCTTGGGCACTTGGGTGTGTGGTCCTGGGGACAGCTCGCAGCACACCTAAATTATTTGCCGCGTTAGCGATTTGGACTTTCGGCCACCAGCGTAACAACACCGTAAATGTTAATATGCAGACGGTTGGTAATGCAGCGGGCATGGGACGCGGCGAGATCATCGCAGCGTCGGGCAACCTTCTAGCGTACGTGAAGATCATGGTTCGAGAGGCTTCCGCCACATATTCCGACGCGTATGCGTGTGTGTGTGTGTGTGTGAGTTGCATATTTGTGTGTACGTGTATACGTATATGTATATGTACAGTTAGATATATAGTATATGCGTATGTATATGTGTACGTATGTGTGTATGTATTTGCTTTTGTATACGTATATGCACATACATATATAGATGTTTACGCATATGTATATTGAGGTGCCTATGTAAATACATCTGTAGAGTTATATGTGCATATGTGTATGCATACTTATGCGTGTATGACTGTGCATATGCATATGTAATACATATATATATATATATAACGGTACATGTATTTATGTAGATGTGTATATTTGTTACTAAATATGCATGTGCATATAGTCGTATATGTATGTGTCTATGTTTGTTGGTACGTGCATGTCTATGTGTGTACGCATACGCCTGTGCATATTTAACCGTATACGTATATGTCTAGGCATGCGCATTTTTAAATGCATGTATGTGACTTCTATATGTAGAGTTCTATGTATGGATATGTGTATGTAAACGTAAATGTAAACGTATCTGGTTATGTATAAATGTTTATGTACATGCATATTATATGCACATGTACATGTATATATGCAACTGTATATGCATATTACATGTATATGTAATATGTATATGAATATTTGGTAGGGGGCGGGGGGGGGGGCTCCCAATATCTACCTCTGAGTTTCACCACTTCGTTCTCTTATCGTGGTTCCGTGTGATCCTTTGCCATGGGTCTCTGGCAGATGATTTCGATTTTGAGCTCTCCGATTTCTGGCTTGTTGGAAATCAGAATCCCACAGACACCAGACGACCACAATGAAGCTGGCAAACCAGAAGCAATTGAAATCAAAGCAGGCCAAATGCGGAAGGGTCGTGTTTTCACATGTGCCACGTGTTTTTGGACCGGGAGCCAATGGTTTGATGGTAACAACACAAGGTGTTCTTTGATTTTTGTTTTTTTTTAGCAGAAAGAAATGCGGTGCCGTCTGAGTGCGATCCCTGTGCAGGCACAGGGATCACTTGTCACCGTTACCGCTTTTTTGGGGAAACATTGGAACCATCCGAAGGATACCATTTGTTTCTTACGGTCAGGCCATTGATTCTTATTGTTCAGAACAGGTGATCTTTGTGAACGCACAGGGTTTCAGTTTTTTTTGTTTTGTGTTTGAGTTTTTGTTGTCTTGGTTCCGCAGAAATGGCGGGTTGGGCATCATAACCCCAACGCAGCATAAGAAACAACAGCACAACCACAGAAGAAGCGGACACACCTGAAACAGCGAACAAAACTATTAAAGCATGTGCGGGCACCTTGTGTTTTCATATGGGTCACCTGGTTTGGACAAAGGAAATCCTTGGCTTGTTAGTAACACATAAGGTTTTCTTTGGCTTTTATGTGATTCCTTGGCAGCAAATGGTAGAGCGTGGGTGTGAACCCTGTGCGGGCACAGGGATCATTTCCCACTGCCGTATTTTCTTGGATGGTTTGGTCAAGTGGGAAGAAAACCATGTTGGTTTCAAATAGATCCATTGGTTTTTATTGTCCCAAACAACTGGTCTCTGTGCGCCAAACGGATTCCCGTGTTTTTGTGTGTTCGTGGTTCTTTCTTCCCCCCGTTGTTATGTGTTTTTTTGTGTGTTTCTTCTTCTTGTTTTGTCCAACCATTCAGAAAAGCAAAACCAGCGGAAACACGTGGACAAGTTGGCACAACGCACAAAAAGTGCGGACACTTCGTGTTTTCACACGGTCACATGTTTTGGGTAACGGAAATCTGTGGTTTGATTGTTACAGCGCAGGGGGGCGTTCTGTGAATTTGATTGATTATTGTAAGATAGTTGTGAAGCGTTAGTGTGGTCCCTGTGATGACGCAGGGGCAACCTGTCCCCATTCCAGTTTTGTTGACTGTTTGGAACTAATAACATTCAAATACTCTTCTTGTAAACAAAAAAACAAGGCATTGATTTTGATTGCCCAAAGCAGTGGTGGTCCCTGTGAGATCTAAAGGGCCCCCACACGTTTTTCACAGTTTCTTGTTTCTTCTTCTGTTTTGTACCAGTTTTTTCTGTTCTCTTTTATGGCTTGTTGGAAGTTAATTTCCAACAACACGGGCCGGCCAGAAACTACAGACTCACCAGCAAACAAAGGTATGCGGAAGTTTGGTGTTTTCATCGGGGCCACCGGTTTTGGACAACGGAAATCAACAACACAGGTTTTCTCCGGTTTTTTACCGATTTAAGAAACAGCGGCAACGCGTGAGTGTGACCCTTGTGCAGGTACAGGGGCCACTTGTCCTCATTACCGCTCTCTCTTGAATTATATTCAAATCAAACGCAGTGTTTTGACAGTCGGTCAAACCATTGATTCGTTGTCCAAAGCATGTGGTCTTTGTGAAAATACATGGTTCCCGCTTTTTTAATATTTGTTCCAGGGTTGTTTGAATCTTGGCTTGAGACGTTCCCTCCCTCGTTTCCTCCCCCCTCCTCCTCCCCCCTCCTTCCGCCTTCCCCCACAGACGGAATCCATGCATGGAGGATCCTCCACAAAAGGCATCAATGTGTGGATGTGTGGAGGATCCTCCACACAAGGAATCAACATGTGGGTGTTGCCCACAAAAGAAATCAAGGAGCGAATTGATCTCCACAACAGGACTCCAAATTCAAGTTCTCCTCCTCCTCGCTCCTCGTCCCTTCTTACCCCCACAGACGGAATCAGTTAATGGAGGATTCCCACAAGGAGTCAATGTGTGGAGCTCCCTCCTGCCTTCCTTCCGCCCACAGACGGAAGCAATGAATGGAGGATCCTCCAGAGATGGAGTCAATGTGTGGAGAATCCTCCACAAGGAATCAACAGGTGGGGGTTTCTCCACATAAGGAAACAACGAAACAACATGAAGGGCACTCCACAAGCGGAATCAAATTGTAAATTCTCCTCCTCCCTCTTTTTCCCTCTTCCTCTCGTTCCCTCTTCTCCCCCTCCCACAGGCGGAATCCACTAACGGAGGATATTCCACAAAAGGAATCAATGTGTGAAGAAAGTTCCACACAAAGAATCGATGTGTGTGGGTTTCTCCACACAAGGTGTAAATATGTGAAGTGCTTTCCATCAAAGGAGTCTATATCCAAAGCCTCCTCCACCTTCCTCAATTTCCCGCCTTTTCCTTCCTCCCCTCCTTTCCTCCGCCTTTTCCCGCCTTTCCCTCCTCTCATCCTCCCTGCTCTTGCCGGTGGCAGGCGAGGAAGGTGGAGGGAGGAGCATGGTTACACATTGAATTCCAAAAGCCATCAGGCCATAAACATCAATTGAAAAGACAACACCAAAACAGAACAACAGACCAAACAAAAGTGCGGGAACCCAGTGTTCGGAACACTAGTTTCGAACAGTGAAAATCAATGGTTCGATTGTAAAAACAGTAGTTGCCATTGATTTCTTCTTCAATACATAACGGTAATACACGAGTGTGCTCTGCGCAGGCGCAGGGATCCCTTGTCCCCAATACCCCCTTTTCTTTTTACAGAATAAGTTAGCGTGGTGAAGGCAGCTGTGATTTCGGTAGAGCTTCTCATGAGGGCACGAACCGTGCGAGGGGTGTGCCCAAGTGGAATTCCGATGGCACGCGGGCGCTGCCACTGGGGCCTTTGGTGGAGCTCCTTATAAGGCCTTCGGCGTGGCTCCTTCTGTGCCCGCGCACTCCAAAGACCAAGGCTGCGGGCGCAGCGCAGCGCAGAGTCCCCGCGACGCGCGCCTGTCGCCCCGAAGGGGTCCCAGCGACGCGCGCGGGTCCTGCGCTGCGCGGAACAAAGGTAGCTAGCTTGCTGGCCGATTACGAGCAAGGCTCTGGCTGCTGGGCAGAGCGACGGCTGGCGAGCGTGGCGCTGGGCGGAGCGCAGCATGGAGTTCCCGCGACGCGCCTTGGTCGCTCCGAGGGGGCCCCAGCCGCGCGCGCGGGTCGTCCACGGCGCGGGGCCAAATAGTCATACCGTCGAGAGAAGGCGAGGCTCGGGCGGGCCGTTCCCCTGGTCAGGCCTCGCGGATAAACTCGCTGAGTCCCAGCTCCCTGGCGAGAGCCGTCGCCCCCCGGCACCGCTTCGTGCGCGCCCCGAATTGCCCCAGCTGCTTCCGCAAGCCCTCCTGCGGACCTGCCAGGAAAAACTCGATCCGCAGCGCCCGCGCGAGCGGGATGTCTTCGTGGCTCGCGGCGCGCGAGAGCAGCGCGTAGAGCTCCCGCCACCAGTCGTCGTCCTCCGTTTTGCCGTTCCCGACCTCGTGGCGGCCGCCGTCCAGGATCACGCCTGGGCGACGTCGGCCGAGGGAGCGGCGCGCTGGAGTGCCGACGGCCCAGGGCGAGAGTCTACGGGGCCGAGAAGGTCTTGCTGCGGACCGTTCGCGCCCACGCTACGGGGCAAAGGAGCGTCTGAAAGGTGCGCGCCCCATGGGGCCGCGAAGCGCTGTGTTCGGCGCGGGAACCGCATGCGAGTTCCGCCGTTTGGGACTCCCGGTGGAATTCCCTATGGGGCCACCAGGCGCTGTTCTGGGCGCAGGCACCGCGTGCGAGTTCCGCCGCTGGGACCTTCGGTGTAGCTCCCCATGGGGCCACGAAGCGCGGTGCTGGGCGCGGGAACCGTATGCGAGTTCCGCCGCCAGGACCTTCGGTGGAGGTCCCTGTGGGGCCACGAAGAGCTGTATTGGGCGCGGGAAACGCATGCGAGTTCCGCCAGTGGGGCTTTTGGTGTAGCTTCCTATGGGGCCACGCAGTGATGTACTGGGTGCAGGAACCGCGTGCGAGTTCCGCCACTGGGACCTTCGGTGGAGCTCCTTGTGCTGCCACGAAACGGTGTACAGGGTGTGGGAGGTGATGACGATGATGATGGCGATGATGATGATGATGATGGCGATGGTGATGATTGTGATGGTGATGGTGGTGGTAATGCTGATGATGGTGGTGGTGATGATGATGATGATGAGGGAGGAGGC